TTTGTTTACCTCGCAAAATTAGGTACCACAAAAAATCATCAGAGAGTTGAGTGATATATCATATTAAAGCCCTTTCAGTCATGATTTCATTGACATTTAAAAATTTCCAAAAGGTATAATTTCAAAATTTCTTATTTATGGTTAATATGGGCCGTTTACAATAGCTTATTTCAATTCATTTTGATTTTACTCGAGTAAAATTTGTTTTTGGAGATTTTTAATGCCATTTTGGGAATTAAAAAATTTCGGCTAAAAAATTTTGAAAAAACCTGATTTTTTTTACTTTTGTTTTTCTAGTCATTTCCCTCAAAAACGGTTGTCATGTTTGCTTATTTTACTATGACTTTTTTGTAGTTTTATGAAGACTATGGTCGGAATATTCCGTGCTACTTGCACAGTAACCGGCTATCCTTGTAATAATATCTACTCGCTCACTTTAATCCCTCAAAAATTAGGCTATTAGGCTTAAAAGTAAAAACTTAAAACCAGTTTTTCTTTTTAATGGTAGAATCCCAACCCAAAGTGTTTTTACTATCTGTAGTATTTTTCCACTTTGTATAAGCGGGGGTCACTAATACTAGGTGTTCTACTATGCTGATGGTCAGACTAAATCGGCCGATCAATGGATTACGCAACACCCCCTTTTGTTAGTGCTCTCTTCGGCTTTACTCTGTCCTTTCTAGCTAGTTCAGCAAATCATGGGCTCAATAGGTAAATTCTTCTTAAATCACAGAGGAAACAAAAAGTAATTTACAGTGCCCTTAATGAGCTAACTACTACTAACTACTTCTATAAAAAGCCCGCGTCTCGTTTCGTTCAATCGCTTCGCTAACTAGCCCGTCGGTCCTCGCTTGACCCAATGCCAGAATCGCCAACGATAACCAACTCTCGAGCGCAACTCGCACACACAAATACTTCCACCCGGTACTAAACTCGGGTCCTAATCAGCCAGACTAACTAACTAACTATGAGACACAACTAGCCTCGCTTCAAGCAATAGCGTCCTTCACGGACCAACTACTCTTCTCGGCATGCTCAATCGTTCTCACTCTAACCGAGAACCAACTACTCTCAATAGTAATTATTCCTGTTCTGCCTAAGGGTAGGCTACTTGTTATTCTCTATGATGTTTGTCTATTTGAGTTTTAGTTAAAGTTAGAGTTATACCGTCCCTACAAGTCCTGACATTTACTTAGTTACCCTTTTCGTAAGGTCTTAACTGAATTCTTCCTCTGACGCCACTAATCTTAAGTTCCAAGTTCATTATAGGTATCTCTAACTAAGCTGTGCAAGTATCAAGTACAATTTCACCTCCAAACCGAATTATGTTTAATTAACCAATCTTCCCAAGGTTTTTATATAATTATCCCATTAACATTCCAACCTCCCAGGGGTAGGGGAAGACTCTTTTTATAGGTCGCTAACTCATCCTTAGCATCTAAAATTCCGATTTATACTCTATTCCAACCCCGACCTTCTAGCTATCAGGGAAACGTAATTCGCTTACTAGGGGTCGAATTGTGCCAAAAAGCAACCTCCGGGGAGCTAAGTAAATATCTCATTCATTCATGTTATGTAGGAGTCATACTTCCCATGCTATACCGCAGTTACTGTCAATTCCCTCTGGGACTACTTTGATTGTTATTCTATTAATAGCGCATTCGCCAAGCTAGATCGAACCCGATGTTTGCCAAGTTCACTTCAATTGATTCCACTAATTCAGTTATACAATGTCTAAGCTATATCTTTTTCGACTTCTCAATTGTTCCGCAATAGGTAAGTTCCCTCCCAAATATTAGTAAGGTGACCGATTCTCATTCCCAAGGGTTGGGGTCGAATGAATACGCCTCTTTCCGGTGTTCATCCCGAGGTTTTTTATACAAATTTGGTCCTAAACGCCTAAAGGTCAATTCAAGGTCACCCGGGGTCAATCTTCCACATTCAGGTTTACAATCCCATAGGGGTCCTACCTAACAAGTTTCATCCATATCCCGTTAATACTTCCCAAGTTATCCCATTTCTAAGGTTCATTATCACTTTTCCCGGGGAAAAGGCTATTAACACCGGAAGGAGTTGGCGGAGGGGTTTCAATCACAAGGGGTCTTTTTTCGGGGATGCGTTGTAGTATCTGATGCCGTCATAAAATCAATATGACCTCGCTCATTATTTTGCGTAAATTGCCTACTTCCGGTTTAAGGGGTGGTTTTCCAAAGTGCTAATAACTTCCGGTTCAGCCGCTGGATTTGGTTCAAATTATAACACAAGATCTACTTCGTTGCTACCTATGCTATCCCAAAGTTTTAGCTTCCTGCGTTCAGTGGGGTCCGAGAAACGACTCCCGGAAGTCGGGGTGGGGTCTATTTGCATATCCGTCCTATGAGTTTCATAAACCTAGCCACTGTAGTTCCCATTTGGGGGGGGGGGGGGGGGGTCCGCCGATCTTACTTCACCTGCATTTTCCGCCATAGGAGGGACTATATCTTCGAAGGTTTAAGCTTATTTTGGGTATGACTATTTGTTTACTTTACTACTTATCGTATTGATTTGTCGATGCCGAGCTCATTAGCCTTCACTACACCGCATACATTTCCCAAGCTTAATTTCTCAGCCAAAGTCTGAGTTCGGCAAAAAGTGTTAGGATCACCGATCCTACAATATCATATATCACTCTATCACTCGGCCCTTTCTGATGATTATTTGAAATGACTAGTTTTGCGTGGAAAAAAAATTTAAAAACCAAAACCCATCATGAAAGTTCCTCTTCATTTTCAGTGCTCGCCACAAACACAATTTTGTGTCCAGGACATTGGGATATTTCATCTGGAACCTAAAGAGGATACAGTCTCTATTTAAAAATCTAGTTGACTCGCCTATAATGGCCTACGCACTTAATAATTATAGTCTCAATTGTTGATCTTCGATCTGAAATGAAAGCTGAAAAGCCGTGATGCTTCTACATGGATGGATAGACTGAATTTGACCTTTTATTTCCAAGTTCAGTGAACTCTCTGAATTCGACTGTTCAATTAGAGAACAGGGACTGTTTGCTCTGTCTGTGTGTATTTTGGTAGTTAATAGAACAAACCAATAAATACATGTTTCGTCTTGTCTGGCCTCTACACTTAATTTCATTGACCATGAATGAGATTTGAACAGATTAAGAACCCATGATTATCAGACATATCACATGTGCTGCGTCTAGCTGAAGTGACGCTGAATTGCTTTGAGAGCAATATGTGATAGACTTCAATTTAGTCCGATTTTAGACAGTTGAGCTAATCGGATTAGGATGCTCGAGCAAACCAAATTTCCCCATTTCATACCGAATTACGCCTTATTTTAGCTGAGATAACAGTTTAAATTGACAGTTTGCTGTCTAGCTGATAAAAATAGCGCTGTCATAGTGTATCACGCTTTATTTTATTTTCTGAAATGGTTTATATTGACAGTGTTTGGTCTGGCTGATGAAAATAGGAGTGACGAATTAGTGTCAAATTAGGAATTCCGTGGCAGAATTCCTGTCATATAAGATCCTTGATCAGGAAACCTTTTCAATCTAAAAATATATTTAGCTAAAAATACTATTTAAATGGTGTTAGTAAAACAGACAGTCGCTAGTCATTATACAAAATTAAGATCAGATGCTTCGTTTCTGAATAAAGAAATAGGGAAGTCATTGAAATTGTTTTTAAATTTACTAGATTTCCTAAAAGACCAAATTGGCTACATCAGAGTAGTTTGAATAACATTTATAAAAACGCTACAGAGAGCACAGCTAACGAAAAGATGGTGATCATATGATTACCTTCCATAATATTAAATACTCAACAAGGCAGATGATTTTTTAAAAAAAATTTCCAAACTCCGATGTAGTCAAAACATACCGAATTGTTATTAAAATGTAATAGAAGTTTTTATTGGTTAATTTTAATTTCAGCCTAAGGTAGAATCCTAATAGTTTTGAGTGGACTTCAGGAAAAATTTTGTATTAGGCGTTTCCTCTCCAGAGAGCCATTTATGCTCTTTTAAAAAAACTGCAGGCTTCATTATGGCATTATTTATTCCAGAGAATTGAACGTAATGAGTAGTCTTTTACAGATCTTGTTGTTTTTGTGCTTTTTCAGGAAAAAGTCTTAAAAATTGTTCACGCTCAATTAGATTTTTTGCGGATTTCTCTATTTGTGTTTTAATTTTTGGGCTTAATATATTGCTCTACTTCCTCGATATTGTAATCAGTAAACTAAACTCACGCACAGAGTCTGTCGTTCTAAAATTGCGGGGTTCACATCAAAAAATCTCGAATCCATGGGGAATCCATGAGGATGTATAGGGACAAGTTCCAATAATGCAATAACATATTGTGAAAGTCCCCTATAGTTTACTGAATAATTAGTCGGTTCTCATGATTTTGCCTAGTCGTTATTTTTGTTTAATTGGTTCACAGAATGGTCAATTTTGTAGGAATAGTAAATTTCACTTCTGACATGCTCAATTGCTTGAACCTTTAAATATAACTACCAGAAGTAGTTATTAGGCGAAGTTCGTTTCAGGTAGTAATTTTTTCAAAAAAATTATTTGCGAAAATATTGATTCTGTAATTTGATGCCGTTTGGATCATGACCGAAAGAGTTGTATTCTGATATATGACTCGTCTCATTCCGATGATTAGTTGAGGTACTTGATTTTGCGCGGAAAACAAAAAACTTAAAACATATCCGAAGACAAAAGTTTCTCCCCATTTTCAACGGTACGGAAATTGTTGCGGAGATTTTCCGAAGTATGCGATAGAATCGCTATCTTTCACATGCGAATCGTGGAAGGGGTAAACAAGGTAAAGATAATCAATGATTACCCTTGTGGCCTGGTAGACAAAAAAAAACAGTCAAAAGTTTCAATAAATTCGGCTGTTAAATCCAAATTAAAAACTGGCCAGCAAAAATTTAATGATTTCCTATCAGACAAGGAGTGAAACTTTAACAATCTGCTACATTTTAAGAGTGAATATGAGTGCAGCAGCTGTGGTGAAGCAGCACATCAATAGGAAGTTCAGTCTGCACGGACTGCTGTTGCATGCAGATGGGAGCAAGTACTTGGCCAACTTGCTCACGCCACTCACAGATGACTCACAGAAGACAGAGTGGCTCAAACGCATCCTAGATTGCATCCTAAAAGGCCTGTGATTGTCATGTTCCTTCGTAGTACTATTTTCGATGCTTTTGTTATAATACGAGTTATCTTTTTGACGGGTCATTTAGATTAAGCAAGTCAAACTAAGCATTTATAGATATCCATCCTATTTCGCCAATTGAAACAATTGAATCTCCTCTGTTTGATTTTACAAAAATTAGTTTTTTGGTGTATTTTGAGCCAAAATTAATTTAATTTTATTATATTTTTTTAATCACTGAGATGATGGCAGTATTGCCGAAAACAGTTTAAATTCAACATTGATCCGACTTGTTTTCCCACTGAGAACCATACTCATGATACTAATTTTAAAAAAATTATGGGTGTTTTGAAAATAAGATGTAAAAAGACAGTAGAATGAATCTATTTTTCAAATAATATCTTTTTACCAGGCACTATTGAATCCCCGATTGTGACTAAGGCTCAAATTGAAGCAGCCGTCAATGAATGCACCACGGGTGATGATGAAGGTGACGAACAAATGATGGTGCAAATCATTCAAGCTTTTGACTTCCCACGATTTTTCTTCTCGCCTGAACGAAAAAAATTTGTAACTGCGGAAGAATTGAAACTACCGCCTTCAACTTTATTCGACGTACCTGAGCAAAAGTCTCAGCTCTTTTGTTACCGCTATGACGTAATCAGGCAACGTTTATTGCGTCATAAATTGTTCACATCGGTAGGAGCGTATGGAAGTGGGGAAGCGAAAATGAAGTTGCATGATGTAGAGTTTCTTTTGACCTTGAAAACTACTTTGCCAGATGTTATAGCACTGGGAATGGTAGTGCAGCTAAAAGATAGCAAGTATTTTCTGGAAGATCCAAGCGGAGTTGTTCCAATTGATCTTTCCACTTGCAGGTACCAATCTGGAATTTTCACTGAGTCATGTATAGTATTGATTGAAGGTACATTTGTCGAGGGTGTTTTAAGAGTCAAAGCGATTGGCCATCCGCCTATCGAAACTGCAGAAAACTCACGACTTCAATTTGGAAATATCAATTTTTTTGGAGGCTCACAAAAAACTTGTGCAAAATCATCGGAAAAGCTGAAACATCTCGAAGCTCAAAATCCTAACGCAATGTTAGTTTTCTGCTCGGATGTTTGGCTTGACAAAATGGAAACTATAGAAATGTTGAACAAAATGTTTCTGGGCTTTCAAGATAGCCCTCCTGTAGCTTTTGTGTTTTGTGGCAATTTCTTATCAACTTCCTACGGCAAGCAGTCATTTCAAAAATTAACGGAAGCCTTTAAGAGGTTTGCGCAACTTTTGCAGGATTTCAAGCCACTTCTTAAATCTTCAAGGTTGGTTTTGGTTCCGGGGCCCTCCGATCTTTGTTCGTCTGTAATTTACCCGAAGTCAGCGTTTCCAGGAATTCTGAGAAAACATTTCGTCAATATTCCAAATGTGATTTTTTCGACAAACCCTACAAGAATTGTCTATTGTACCCAAGAGATAGTGATCATGCGCGAAGACTTGTTGCACAGAATGTTCCGGACTGCTGTTCATATTCCACAAGTTCCCGTGAAGGAAATGCCTGCGCATCTTGTCAAATGTCTTCTCGCCCAAGCCCACCTCTCGCCTTTACCTCTACACGTTAGTCCTGTCTACTGGGGTTTCGATTATACAATGAGACTCTACCCTGTTCCAGATTTATTGGTACTGGCGGATAAGTTTGACAGTTACAAAGTTCAAAGTAACGGAGTGATGGCTATTAATCCAGGAAGTTTTTCAGCCCAAGACCGGTTTTCATTCAAAGTGTATTTTCCACAAAGCAAAGAAGTAGAAGAGAGTAAAATTTCAGAATAATTAAGGATACTTTTGAAATTAAAATAAACGGTTTTGAATTGAATTTATTTGTTTTAGATTGTTCAGTGAGAAGTGCTTATATCTTTTAAAATATTAAAGGATGCTTGAGAATTTTTGATTACTTGGTGTGTTTTTTGTGATTGATGTTTTAAAGAAAATTGTTTGAATTCAAATTAAATATTGTGTTGTTGTCTTTGAAAAATTTCAAAAATAATGGATAGACGACATCGGCCGAAAAATTAAGCATCTGTGCACTATGGGCCGTATTATGGACAGAGTGCACTTAATTACCTTCATAAAGTTGTTGGCCGAAAGTGTCTAGCTACGAGTTCATTTCTTTTTTGAAACCAAGCTCCAAAAAGTGTGTTCTGTATGATTTCACTGGACTGATTATTGTTTGCGTACGTGTTCTGAGGGTGAGGGGGACTTGATAATTTTTTGTAAGTTTTAAGTCTTTATATTTTTTTTCTTTCTTTTTTTTTCTCGGCTTGATTGGTTTCGGCCTATACTATATCGGCTTAGTGGCCTCATATTGCGTCGTTTGAGGTGAGATGTTTTTGTGTGAGTGAGTGTGTGTTTTGACTGGAACTTAATAATGTTTTCTAAGTTTTAAATCTTTTTTTTTTATTTTTCCCCTTGTTTCGGCTTAATAGGTTTCGGCCTTAATTATATCGGTTTAGTGGAAAATTTAATTATATCGGTTTCGGCCTTAATTATATCGGTTTAGTGGAAAATTTAATTATATCGGTTTCGGCCTTAATTATATCGTTTGACGAGCGAAAAATGTTGAGTGCGTGTGTGTGTTTTGAGGGTGAGGGGACTTAATAATTTTTAAAAATATCTTTAAATTGTCTTGGCTTGTTTGCGTTTCAAAACTTACTTATTTAATTTGATGATGACTTACTTGGAAATTTATAGTTTTTTACCTACTCCGCTTCGCCTCTGAGTTTTATTTACCAACTTCTCTTCGCCTCTGTGTGTAATTTTGGTTTTGTTGTTTTCGCGTTCGTTTCTTTCGGTTCATTTTCCGGTTTTTTCATTTGGCATTCCAATTATCTGATACGGTTTTATCGGCACGCTTTCTAATGGGTTTTTATTTCGATTTAAAATTTTTCTACTATAATTGGAAGTTCTGTAATTTGTAAATTTGCCAAGTCTGATTTTGAATAATTGTATTTTTTTTCGTCTTATGTTATTGTGCCTCACTCAGTTTAATTTGCGTCGTTTTGAGGGCACATAATATGTTTCTACTTGTGTTATTCTTTAGGGATGGCTAATAAAATGTTTTAAAATTTGTCGCACCAATTTTTTGTATGATAACAGGTTTTTTTGGCTCAACGGGGGGTCGACCCAATGTTTTCGCGTTTTTTGCCGCTCCTTAATTGATTCTAAATACTTTTTTAAAAGATTCTTTGAATTTTCTTAAGTTTTTTGTCCAATTGTTTTTTCAATTAGAATATTCGATAAAGTTTTCGAGTTCGTCTTTTTTTCTTTTCCTAATATTTTAATGCCTTGTTTTTGATGTATCTCAAATGTTGAGAAGCTCCGCTTCTCTTTTGTGTATAAAAAATTTCGCGCTTGATACCAACATTTTATGATCAAAATGGTAACACCTTTTCAAATGGAACTCGAATGTTTGCGAAGCTTGTGTTATTGTTTGAACTCTCTTTTTTTATCCAACTCAAGTCACAACTTTTGTTGCGACGCAATTATTCTTGCGACATAATGTGTTCATTTTGATTATTAACTGGCGACATAATGTGTTCATTTTGATTATTAACTGGCTATTAAGTACAGCCAATGCTAAGAATATTAAAGCAGATTATCTGTCTATCATTATATCTATCTATCTATCTATCTATCTATCTATCTATCTATCTATCTATTGTTTAATTGGCGTTTCATGTGACACATGTTTAAGAAGTACCTATGTTGACATGTTAAAGAAGTCCCTACATTTGCATGCTTAAGCTTATTCAACGTATTATTTTTTGCATGTTTAACGAAAGAGTTTTTGCACGGTTGAGCTATATCGTATATTAAAATGCTTAAGAAATTTCATTTTGCACATTTTTATGAAGTCCATATGTTGGTCTGTTAAAAGATCACCACTTTATGTCAGCGTTTCAAAATCCATTGAAGCGCGAGAGCTTTAACTCAAACTTTATTTCCTGAATTCGCATCGTAAACTAACGAAAATTTTGTCAAATCTGTAGTAGGGTGCTGCCAGGGTAAACCCAGGGGTTGCAAAATTATTGGCCAAGTATGACGGTTCAAATCTTTTTGCTTTTCGAAGTATGGCGTTTTTTATGACTTTTTCAATTCTTTAATGGTTTTTTTCCTTCAGTCTTGCGATCAGTTTAAGCTGAATTTTCTGTCTGATTGAAGCTGATTTTGAAGCTGTGGTTGCAGCCTAGTTGATTGTATTTTATTAACTTTCATTGAACATATTGAAGGCAATTATTTTGTTTGTGTGGTTTCTCGTTTGTTTTGCTGTATGAGACTGAATGTTTGGCCGAGTTAGTCGTATGTTCAAGAGTAATGAACGTAATGAGTACTCTTATATAGGTTTTGCTGATTTTCTTTTCAGGAAAAAGTCGGCAAGGAGACCAACAGACCAATTTTAACAGAAAAGTGTCCATCATCAGTTGTTCTACAAATTCATAGAGCCATATGGACATCTAGTTTTTTCTTCGAAATTCAAAAGTTTTTTTTTCAGTTTCTCTGCCTTCATTACTCTTTTCCAACTGTCAGTTGGCTATGTTAACTGTTTATCCTTGAAGGTTTTTTTATTTATGGAAGAAATCCTAAAAAAAGTTGTTGAAGCTCGAACATGTCTTCTCCTTGTTTGCCTTTTGCGTTACATTCCTTTCAAATTCAGTGTTCTTAAAGATGAAAAGTTGCCTTCTCTTGCGCGAGAAAACTTGATTGATTTCTTTTCAAAAGTGAATTTTACTTTCAGATTTCCCAGCGAAATAAAAATTAACTATTGAGCAAGTTTTCTTAAAAAGGGATTATTTTAACTACAAAAGAGAAAATCAAAGAAAGTTTCTGCAATTGGAAAAACCATAATCTTTTGAAATTAAAAATAACTCAGAAAGATATCAATATTTTTTTGCCTGTGTTCATTTATTTGTCTGATACTTGGCAAATGCTTGTAAACATTTCGTTAATTCAAGGTTATTGCAATCGGGTCTCAGACTTTTTCCGTAATTAACTTTGTTCACAGAATAGTCAAAATTAGAAATTGTAAATTTAAGTTCAGTTGATAGTCAAATTTCCTAGCGTTGCCGGCGCACTTAGCCTGAAGGTAACGAAAATGCTTCAGACGGCAAAGGTGCTAAGTTCTAATCTGGCATGACTTTTTTTTCAACAGGAAATATTCCATTTCAAAAAACTTTGTCGGCTGATTATTTGTCTGCGTATGCTTTGTCGGCTTACTTGCCACATCCAGGGGCAGATTTAGGAAGGGGGCTGATTCAACCCCGTGCCATACCAGAGTGTCCCATTTTGTTTTATTTTTAGATATCTTTTTATGATGAAGGACTCAAAAAATTTCTAAATGCTCCTTTGGCACCAATATATGCAAATGTTTCCAAAAAGTGTCTAAAAACGTTTTTTTTTTGCCTGTTTTTTTTCTCAAAACTTTGATTGCGGCACTAAAAATTTTGCCAAAACTTGCTGCTTTGGGAGAGCTCGGAAAATCAATTTGTTTGACCTAAAAAACAAAGAACGACAAAGTTTTCGAAAATTTGTCTGTGTTCTGAAGGCTAGTTTTTTTGAATTTTTTATTGGCTTCCTGTTGTTCCATTTGACAATTAATTAAATTTTTTATTGGCGTTTTTGAGGAAGAGCGGGCTTATAAGTTTTGAGCAGGAAGAGGACTTTCTATACATCTTGACTCATTGATTTTTTCGGCTTGAAGGCTTTTTGCTGAGGTGTTTTGGGCTTTGTAACCTCTTGGATAAGTTTTCTTTCGATGCTGATTTCACATTTCATTGTCTGTACATCGTTTTGGTTCAAAACTAGCCGTACTCATTTTGCTCGATCTAATTTTACCTACATTTTCGATTTTTTGCCGACTTAGCGACTTCTTCAGGTGTAGCGCAAGTGGTGCGAAGCTCAGCTTGGCCTGTTGAGATTTTTATTCAGATAAATAATTGATTTTTTGAAAATTTTGCATTTGTGTTTCTGAGTGTTCATAATTCTTCCACATTTTTTTCAGCCTAGTGGCCTCCGCCGCACTTTCTACGTTTAAATTGTATAGTAAAAGGTTTGGAGCTCTGTTTTTGCGAAAATGAAACTCTTTTAAGGTTCAATGAAAGTTTTTTGAATTGGTGAGGTTCTTTAAATTATATTTCTATGAAATTTTTATCGGCTGAACCAATTGTTATTGCATTGCTTTCAAAATTTCCGTTTCACAAGTAAGCACTTCTGTGTGCGAAAGTCATTCGAAACTTTCCAAAAATGATTGGGGCAAACTGTGCACTGGATAGCCGCACAATTTTGTGTCCGTATGTTCCTGGATTCCAGAGACAATTCTTTAAACCTGTTAAAATTTTGTCGGAACGATCAAAGAAAACGAAAGAACAATATAAGAACAAAGGGAGCGTCCTTGTTGCGGAATCCGCTTTCAATTCATAAAATGCTCAGTTTGGCCTCGTAATGTTTTGAAAAATGTTTGACCTTTTGTTTCTGGTAATCTGATTGCCCGAGTAGTGTCAACCGCTCGTGCGCATAGAAATTCTTCTGAAGTTCTCTCATCAAAACTGTGTTTCTCAAAAGGCAATTCCTCGATCAAACGCCTCTGTTATATTTGTGCTCACTTTCATTGGCTGTCGTTTTAGTAGGATGAAGTTTATCCGCTGACTTAAGTCGTGTGGTAGGCAAAATACGTTGATGCGTAAACTCTTTTAAAGCAGCTCGGACTGCTTTGGTTTTTACACCTATATTTAGGTTTTTACACCTTATACCTTTTGTATTTCATTTTTATATGCGAGGAGGGTATAAGGGAAAAATATTTATTTTCTGTTTTCCCAAAAAAGTTCGCATTTTTTTGCTTTGAATCATTTTAGCCAATAACTTCTCGATTGAAGAATCAAATTGGCCGCTGTTTTTTTCTGTCACAATTATGGTTTTTGATTTGTCGTAATTTTGCAAATCTATATATCTGTACATTATTTAATTGGCTTTTCACTTGTCATATGTTTCTGAAGTCGTTGTCCTGACATGTTTCGAAAATGCCAAAATTTTGCTACGATTCATATCGTTTAAATTCATAGTTTTAAGTTTCCAAGGTCATCTTTGAATCTAACCATACATCTGTTAAAGCTTGAATGTTTTAACTGTCCAGTTTTTCCTTTTTCTGAATGCAGACTTTTTGGGCTTTTCGTCTTAGTGTTTATTTGAAATAATTGAAAATCTCAAACCAATGAAAACATGTTGTCAGTGTCAGGTACATTCAGCGCTTGCTAATCTGGCATCCAAATATTACTGCGCAAATCCTTCTCTTTTTCGAGATATGCCGGTTTTTAAAATGATTTATCTTTTTTTTACAAAAAAATTTGATTCGAAAATATTCAAAAAAACATGAAGTTTTCTACTCTATGGTGGGATGGTTTCAGGGCACACGAGAGTTACAAATCCAGCCTCCAAAAAATATTGCTCAAATCTTTTTGGTTTCCAAGATATGGCGTTTTTTTCTTTTTCAATTTTTTTTCAAAAACTAACTCTATGGTAAGTTGCTGTCAGGGTAAACTACTGAAATTCAAATCTGACCTCCGAGTATCACTGCTCAAATTTTTTTGGTTCCCGGGATATGGCTTTTTTATGGTTTTATCAAAAATTTTCAATAACTTAGATTGAAAAAACTTCTCAGAATGAAATTTTTCGACACTTGAATGCGGTTTTTTCATAATGGTTTTAAGGTTTTCTGGAGTGGTTTCCAAGTTTGATTGCTCAAATATTTTTGTTTTTCAGAGATATGTGGTCTTTAGAATATTTCCAAAATTAAAAAAAGATTAGATCAAAAAGATTACCCAAATCGAAATTTGAAGTTCTTGATCTTATAGTGGGTTGACATGGGTCATGGGTGCCATGTTACTGCCAGGAGCTACAGATGCGCTATCCAATTGTGACTGCTCACTGTGTTTATTTTCGAGATTTGACTTACGTTTTTTTTTTCAAAATGTTCTCAAAAAGCTTAAACATAAAATTCTCAACCCCATTGTGGGGGTGTTGTCAGGATACTCTTATGGCTGGCAAATTTGGCGTCTATATGAGCTTCTCAATTTTATTTTATAAGGTAACACTTTAAATTCATAAGTTTTTCAGTAAAATAAAGACTTTCTTCAAAAGAAAATTGATTGGCGTGAAAACTTTTGTAAATCCGCTTCATACTGTCGACCTTAAAAGAGTCATTTTTGTGCCCTTTTTGATATTTTTGAAGCTCAGTAGTATCAGAGGTATGACAATTTTTGTTTAAAATAACGCAGAAGTTGACTGTATAAATCGTTCAATAAATGAAATAGAAAACCCTGATGAATGGTCAGAGTTTAGTTAGATGGTTGCATTAAACTTCGTTGTTTTTTGTATAAAATTTAGGAAGCTCTTGTTACGTTCAACAATCTATTCAAAGCACCGGATATGAGAGTCATGCGCTAGTTTCTCATAATTAACTGTGTCGCAAGATGTGCGAAGTTTGGTGTGACCTCTGTTTGTATGACTTTTTTCGTTCTTCTATTCTTATACAGTCTGCGCTGTGTGAACATCCTTATGCAACCACCAGATATAATTTGTCTTTTTCTCACAAATAGTTTCTGTGATTTAGTTTGATGATCGTCTGATTTTAAAGCTGAGCTTTTTCTTCATGACGATGCAAATGTTTTCTTCATTGTAAATGTTTTCTTCATTGTAAATGTTTTCTAGCCAAGAAATGAGTAAAGGAACCCAAATGTATAAAAAAGTGGATCTAGAATAAATCCCTGGAGCATGCGCAAAAATATGCATCCCAATTTCATCGAATATCTCATTTTAAACTGAAATGACGTAAGGATTTGGACAAGTTTTTTTTTCTGGAGCGAGCGTTCTTGATTTTTTTTTCCCAAGTACAGAGAAAGAATCAAATTTCATAGTTAGTAACTTTTTGTGTCATCTATCGCTTAGCGATAGGACTTTCCTCTTTTACGGAGATATGTACTTCAGGAGATATGTATATGTTTATTATAAGTAAAAGAAGACTGTTCGTATCAGGGCAAAGCCCTGAATGTTCCAACTGCCTATTAAATGGTCTCGAATAGTTTTTGGTTAATGAAGTATTGACAAACTAAGAATTTTAGGTTGATGATATCAGATTCAAGGGTGAAAATTTGAGTCGTATAGGGAGTTAATAAGACTAGTTAGCTTGCCTTAACTGCAACAAGACTGGTCGTGTATCAGGGCAAAGCCCTGAATGTTCCGACTGCCCCTTTAATTCATATAGAATAGTTTTTGGGAAAAAAAATAAAGAAAAACTATCGATTTTGGACAAAATCAAAGATCAAGTGTAAAGTTTTGAGTCGTACGAAATTAATATGACCGCTTAGGTAGCCTCATTTGAATTTGGAACAATTTTGTTGTGCGGGATAATTCGCTACGCCTAACTAATTCGCGTTGCGTTTTCAGCATTATGAATAAAATTTTCAACGAGCGCCTAAATTAGTCCAGAGCATGGTTAGATTGGCAATTTTCAAATCCCAGAACTTAGCAAAAAATGATCCGAGGTAAAAAATCTCTTTATGTTTGATTTCAGGGAGTCAATTTTTTCAAGGGGGTATAAAAAAAATTTTGTCAAAAACTATTTCGATCGCCGAAAATTGACTGACTATTCAAGCATAAATATTTCGTTTTCTTCGAAAGTCGGAACAATTAAATTTGGATCGCGTTCGTATCTTTATTACTCGTATTTATATATTACATACATTAGGAATTTCGATTAAATATATTATCTGAAAATTATTTTAAAGTGTGGCCGAAAATGTGGCAGCCAAAGTTGAGTTTCTGAAAATCGAAATAGGGGTAAAATAGTGAGCAAAATCGAATGATTTTTGTCTCGAATTCGTTGTGCCAAAATAGCCAATAATTTAGCTTTAAAAGCTGATATGACTTTTCAGGCTTGCAATGAGTCGAGATCGTCTTGCATGAGATCATGGAACCAGATAATATAGAGAAAAATATTAATATAAACAAAGATTCTCGAAATTCGCCCGATGATAAAATGACACTCAGCTATCAAAGTAGCAATGAAAGTGGATACCAAACACAGAACAGCAATTTCTCCGAGTCTCTATCTGAACAATTATCCGAAAGCTTCATTTCGAACGACTCCAAACGAAAGTATGACTTGATTAACAAGACGCCGTCCAAATATGAGAATAATGATTTCGCTCTGAACGGGAAAAGTCCAATGAAGAGTGGAGGCAAGAATGCGATGCATTACCTCTTGGCGTCATTTAGCCGTATGTCGCCTAGATCTTCGCCAGCTCAGAAGAAAGCTAATTTAGGATCGCATCTAAATTTGGTGTCAAGCAGCAACACCAGTCCAGAAGCATTGAAACAAAGTACACCATTAGAGACACAGAAAGCGAAACGAGTACTGTTCCTACAGCCGACAGACCAATCAGTCGAAACACAGTTGCCTTCATGCGAGGGATTTACGAAGCCTACTACATTTAACCGACTACTCGGAAAGACGAACACTCTATTCAGGCTGCCGTTAGCCTGCTCGCCACAAAAGAAAGGCCAACAAGCTCTGATAAATAATATTTTAGAAGAAAATTTGAATGCTGACGGGAAGCTCAAAGCACTGAAGTGTTCACGTGTAGGAATGTCACATATTGATTTTGTTCACGAGTTTTCGCTGCGCGGTGGGTTGGAAAACATAGTTTTGCAGTACCTGTCAAACGAAGATTTGTTTAATTGCGCACTTGTGAACTCAAAATGGTACAATGCTGTGATAACTGAAGTGTTGGGAAGAAAGGTAATTTTTGAGCGTGAGATAATATCGGAGAAGATGAAAATGTCCGCTTATCATGAGGACATTGAAAACACTTCTCCATTTCCTATGAGTGGAAAAATGAAAATGAAATTGAACTTGAATCAAAGTTCAAGTTCACTGCGCAGCTTTTCAGAAACGAACGACGCGGATAGATCTGGAAGACTATCGGATTATTTTCTAAAACCATCTTCGCTTTCGAACACGAACTTAAACGAGTGTTCTACTAGCAATGAAAAAGAAGGAAAAAATTCAAATCGTTCGCTGAATCAGTCATCTGCAAGCACTTCGAGTGTATCCACATGGGCTGTTTTCGCGAGGGATTCTCGAGCTTCTAGAGAGGATAAAGTGGTCAAGTGTCCTTCGTGTTGTGGCCGGGCGATTGTGTTGGCAATTAAAGATGAGGGTAAATGCGAGGGTGAGATGTGTGGCTATCATTTTTGCAACAAGTGTGACTCACCCTATCATGGTGCTGATCGTTGTCGACAGGTGGTAAGTTCTGCTCATTCCACAAGATCTGTGTTCATATTCTCTAGCATTTATTAGTTAGGTTTCCAGGCTTATCTAGAACATCCGTCAAAAACTGGATGTATGCGTCACTACTAAGACTGGTCATCTCATTGGTTTTTCTCATTTTATGGCACATTTCAATTAAGTTCTAAATTTTTTGAACAGCAATTTTTAAACGTGATAAACAGCGTTCAGACACTGCTTGAGGTTTTGCAGTTTTTTTTTTGTTTCAGGAAGAAATCTTTAAATTTGTTCAAAACTATTTCGGATGAGTATTTCATTCCATGCATCAAGTTGAGTTTGATTTTTCAATGTTCTGACCATTGAAAACGAGGAGGAACTTGGTATTCAGGTGTTTTAGTTTTTGTTCTCCACTCAAACTCAGGTACCGCAAATAATCATTGGAATGGGTCGGGTGATATCATATTGAAGCCCTATCAGTCTTGATTTAATGAACGACTTGAAAACTTTTTCAAAAAGTTGTCCCAGGTCGAGAAAAACCGGTTAAACGTTTTTGAGTTTAATTATTTCGATCGGTTACAGCGATCGAATAACGTTCTTTATATGGATACTGGTCTTTTAGTTGAAAAAATAGATTAAATAGATTTGTTTTGGAAGCTTCATTTAGCGCTTCCTTGCCAATAAAAAATGTCTGTGCAAAAAAGCTAGAAACGATTTTATTTTTTTTCTTATTTTTTATTTGTTCTTACTTCGAAGACAACCGTTTTCGATTATGCCTAATTTTCTACGCATGTGTATACTTCTCTCATCCCAACACGCACAAGAAATGACACCAATATGAAGAGAAAAAAAAACCTTCTTTGTGTTTTTTATATGAATGTGGTCGGAACATTCTGTGCTACTTGCACTGCAACCGGCTATCCTTTTTTACTTCAATTTAAATCCGCTTCCTAAAAGGAGGCAAATTACGCTCTAGTTAAAAAATTGAAACGGCGCAAAAAGTTTGAACGATTTTTAGTTTCGGGTTTCTAGATTTCACAGTGGAAAAAAGTTCTTCATCCAATTTTCTCAAATTCGATTTTTTTTTTGCAAAAAAAGTGTCAATAATAAAATATTCTTGAAATTTAAAGAGCTTTAAAGGGTTGTTTTTCTGTTTTCCTGAGTTCACTGAAAGTTTTTTTAACGGTCTGTTGTCTATGTTTTTCACTTCCGAACTCCTGTTTATATTTGAATTTACTCCCTCTTTTTTTTTACTCCCCCCGTATATTTAGAAAGAGAATCGATGAGCAACTAATTTGTATGTGAGTATATATAGATGATTCTCATGTACAATGGGGGCAGTTCAACACTGCCGAAAGGCAACAGTGCCGAAAATGAAAAATTGTTTAACAGTTGCCGAAAATTGATGATTTTTGGCACTGTTCAACAACACAACAATTTTTTACGACGCTGTTGTACTTCGGCCTTTTTGTACTCCAGGCGCGTTCAATAGTGCCGAAAAAAAAAATTTTGTTCGACAGTTCTCAAAATCCTCTTTTTTGACAGTGTTAAACTCTTTTTTAATTTGGCATTGTTGAACGCCATCGAATAATCTTGTAAAACCGCATGTAATTTGTTTTTTTTTTATATAAATTCAATCTAGGACAGTAGGATGTTTTTGATTCTCTCTAGGTTGTGTTGGATGACTTTGTGTCTCCTTCCAAGTTCAGAAGCAGTTCGAGAAGTCTCAATTCAACTGGCTCAGAGGGCAATGCAATGACTACCGACTCAGGTGGAACAAACCTGTGCAAAACCAAATCTAATTCGTCCAGCCTCAGTCTCTGTTCGAAAAAAGCTAGGAAAAGCTTACGTAGATTGTGAAAAATTGAACGATGAAAAATATTCCTGTTTAAATGAAAGCTACAAAGAAATTGACAAGATGAACTAATCTCCATAGATTTAGCAAAGAAGTATAAAATAAAGCGTTGTCACGGTTTTGTTATTGTGGAAAATCACTGTTTTTTGTGGAAACTACAATTTTTGAACTTGTGTTTGTGATTTAAATTTGGCAGTTTGTGAGGTTTAAATGATTTTTATTGTAAAACAAACCTGTAAAAAACTGCTGTCCTTTTAAACAGTGCAAGTTTTTAACCTTCTGAATCAATATCAAGTGCTTTTTATCACGTGCAGTAATTTGCTGTTTTGAAGTTTTCGGTTTTGATTTTGTCATCTGCTCGTCATAGAATGGTGGAAGTAGTTTCGTTGATATTCGTGTAACTCTGTTATTAGCTTGAATAAAAACTTTGATAAAGGCATGAATAGCTAGCGGGCCACGCTGTTAAAACGGCTAAATTACTCTCAAAAAATTTAGAAGAAAAAAACCATTAAAAATTAACTTCGTGCTGAGATTCTCCGATGCACTGAATCATCTTTTTTTTGGTTTCTGATTTTTTTTTCACTGAATCATCTTTTTTTTGGTTTCTGATTTTTTTTCACTAGTATTTTCCGGATTATTTACACGGTTCTTTGGGTTTATGTCCGCTGAATTTATTGGCCTCTGCAAAATCTGTCATTGATTTCTTCGAAGATCTTTCGTGTCTGGCTATAATTGTTGTGTGGCATTTGGAAATATCGCATTTGCATTTGAAAAGAAAAAATGCTCGTTGATAGAACGTTTTGTTCCAGGTAGTTACTAAAGTATTAGTCTCAGTTCTAGTTTTATCATCGATCTGGTCCTAGAGTAGTTATACTCATATTTATACTCACGGATAAATTCAAAAGGATAATTTAAATGAAAAGTTTATAGGTCACAGACACAACTGTTCTTCTATTGTTAAATTATACCAAGACGGGGGGATTTCTATTTTATGAATCTTTTTCATTTCTTCCATACAAAATTTGCGGGAAGATGTTGAAGGAAGGATTGAAAAAGAGAGTCTGTGAGAAATTGTCTGTCCAGACCAAGGGTAGTAATCCGATGTTATTTTGGTAAGAATTTAATTAATCAAAACTATTTTACTTTCAAATTTAAAGATAGAGTGAAAAAATTTGATCAAATTCTAAAAAGTTTGTTCTATTGTGTAAGTTTTTTCCACGGGTGTTTTCGGGATTGTCTAAACGTTTCTTTTGGGTTCATGATCGGTGAATTTGTTTGCCACTGCACAATTTCTTAAAAATTTCTACGAAGTATTTTTGTCTCGCGGTAATTGCGGCGTCAAAGCATCCTGGTTGAGGGAATTATCGTTTGGAAATATTGCGTCTGGATTTGAACTGTTTTACTAAAAAAAAACAAGACTCGTTGGTACACCTTTTTGTTTCAGTTTGAATAAAAATTGGTTAAAAAACTAGAAGATCAGAAATTTGGATTTTTTGTTTAGGTTCAGTCATTTAGTTGAAATTTGATTCAAATCTTACGTTAAAAAGGCATTTCGGTTAAGGTTTGAACAAAAACAGAATTGAAAAGAGTATTGAACAATAGAGTTTATATTAGTATAGCATTTTCTATACTATTATGTGTTCTCACCGGACAGCCAAACATCGGTAAAGTTGTTATTTTCTAGAAGGTATAAAACTGCTGTTTTCTTAAAGTCTTTGGGTACAATATTTACAAGGCAAGGTTAGGCAGAGCAGGGCTAGGATGGGCATGGCAATGTAGGGAAGCTCAGGGCAAGGCGTGGAGGGGCAGTGCAGGACAGGGCGAAAAGTTGTAAGGCAAGGCATGGTAGAGCGAGGCGGGGCAGCGCAAGGCAAGACACGGCAGGGTGATGAGGGGCACGGCCAGTCTGGGTAGTATAAAAATCTGATGAATCAATCTATACAATCATCCATCTATGCATACACGTTTTTTGTTTCAGCGTTTTTCACCAAATTTGAAGTTAACAATCCATGGTAAAGCGATGTCAAGGTTTTTCTAAAGGTTGCAAAATTGGCCTCTAATTATCAATACTCAAAATTTTTTAGCTTACGATATACGACGTTGTTTCTGAATTTGTTATTTTTTAAAATTGTGTTTCTCAAACTTCTGAAAATATGAAATATCCAACCCTATTGTGGAGGGCTGTCAGGATAATCCCCAGAGTTGCACCTCTTGCCTTCAAATATGGCTGCCCGTATTCTCTTAGTGTGTGAGAAATGACACAAAACTTAGCTTTGAAAGTAGTGAATTTGACAATTCTACAGTTGGAAGCTGTCAGAGTTCTCTCAGGGTCGCAATTTGGTCTCCAAATCTGGTGTCTCAAATGCTTTTAGTTTCCTAGATATGACAATTTTCGTGATATTTTCAAAAACTTCGCAATCTTCAAAACTACCAGCCTCAATGTGGGGCGCTGTCAGGGTACTCTCAGAAGGTGCAAATTCTGCCTCCAAGTATGAAAGCTCAAAACTTTTTTCTGCCAGATATGACGTTTTTCAAGCTTTTTTAAAATCGTTTTAGAAAAATTAGATATAATTAACTTCATAAGGTTCAATAATTTAGATGTAAAAAACTTCATGGTTAGGTGCTGTCAAGGTACTCTCAGAAGTTTTATATCTGAACTTGAAATGTAACTGCTCAGCACCTTTTAGTTTCCGAGATTGCCGGTTTTTTCTTTTCATGAATGCGAATTCTCCAAGACACTACTTCGAAAAAATTCGAAATTGTTGGCTCTTTGGTAGGGTGATGTCGGCGTATTCCGAGTAGTTATAACTATCACCTACAGACGTATGATCGCTCAAACTATTTCCGATATAAGACGTTTTTTGCTATTTCAAAACTTATAACTCGAAACGTTAGAGCAGAGAAATGCAAATCCAATAATATAAACTTGATTCATCTGTCTGCAATATTCAGAAAATGCAAGTTTTTAGAATTAAAATTTGGAAAAAATATTGGAAAATTCCAGTAGGAGAGGTTAAATTACTTTATAAATTACATTCATTTTTTTCTTTTTATTTGTCTTTCAACTCCAACATGCGTAAGGGTGTAGTTTATCTGCAAAATCTGTTTGTCGAAGCAACTTTGCTGCGTTGGTGATGCTAGATTTTGATGATCTCAAACGTACCAGTGGGGTGGACTTGCTAAGCGAATTATCGCTTGAACCATTGAAAAGATTGTTGTATAACCTTGCTAGCGAGCATAGTGTGTTATTATGACCCTACATTTTTCCGAGAAAACTCGCAAATAAAATTGCTCATCTGGTGGTAAAATTGTTCACTGGAGAAATGGCAATTACGGTGCTAGGGATTTCAGCAGACCGGTTTTTAAGCAGACTCAAAAATTGACCAATCAGAAAGCTTCATTATTTATTCAAATAAAAAGGCTCAAAAACGCAGAGTTTTGAATTTTATCAATTCACAGCATATTTATCAAAGCATATTAACAAAAATCAGCGGAAGTAACAAATTTAACATAAAATGAGTCCAACAAACTGAGTTTTTCATTGAGTTTTTCGACATATCAGGGCTATACCGTCGCAATACTCGAATTCTGAAAAATTTCCGCCGAGGTATAAGCATTTAAGCCTCAAAATTTTCCAATCCGGACCTAAAAACTTTCGTTTTTTCAAAGGCGGGCACTCCCCTCGGTTCGCACGTCATATTTGTAGACGAGACAGCAATTCCTCATTTGATAATTTTTTCAACTTTCCAAAAATTTGGTCGAAACTTGCCCACAGTTTTATTCCCGCCTGAATTCCATCCTTCGCAAACGTTGTTATTCTAATGTCGACAGGTCGATCGAAAACGTTCCACATTTCCCTAAGAATTGGTCCAAAAATTCCATAAATAGTCAAAAATTTTCGTTTATGTTGATTTCTTCTTGAACTTCTCCTGATAAGTTGCTAGCATCATAGTGAGTTCGCCGATTGGCAAGAACGGCTATCTATAAACTTTTCTAAAAAAATTTTGAAACTTTTGATCGTTCTTATCAAGAGTATATAATCCAAATTCCTGAATTTTTCGCAAAATGCACTGGGAATAGTGAAACCAACAACCAGAATGTTGCGAAACAAAGAAAGTTTTTCGAATAGCTGGTATAACACCCGTCTCGTATTCTGTGATAAAATTTTCCGGCATAAAAGAAATTCCCGTAATTTCTTAGTTTTTTGGCGCAAAATTCCAGAAAAATTTTGGTAAATTTCTTCGAATTAGTTCAGACTCATATTAAGGTCGTGATGATAATGTTTTTCAGGTAAAGTCTTTTTCGCGGTTTGCTTTTTTTTTTTTTTCAGTTCAGTTCATTTCCTTTGTTGAAAGGAAGGCAAAATCCACTTTTGACCAGAAAAGGTGTAAAGGTCATAAAAAACGGCATCGACTTCTGATTTCAAAGATAGATTTTAATTTTCAGATTTCCCAGCCTAATGAAAAATTTACGTATTGATTCAGTTTTTGTCACTTTGGGTTAATTTTATAAACAAGCGTCAATCATAAATTGTTCTAGAAATTGAAGAGCTTTAGGGCCATCAATTTTTTCTTTGATTTTGAAGTCTGCATTTTGTTTACTTGCGCTCATTGACTCTTTTTCAACTATCTGTTGGATATTTTTCAAATTAAAGTTAAAACCAACCTAATTTTTGAAAAGTGACTTATTAATTGAAACATATGTACAGAGCCGCACCGTTATCCTACAGAGTACAGTTAGATCCAGCTGATTCATGATATCCTGATTGGAAGGAATATGGGAATTATCTCCCGTTTACATATTCTAAGGAGCAAATGCCTTATTGCTGTGTTATTTTGATTTAATAATAATTTTTGAAGCTAACAAAGTGCTATTAATCATCGAATAGTTGAGCATCTGCGAAACTAAGAATTGAGTCTTTGATTGAATCTTTTTCGAACATTTTAGCATTCAAGAAAAAAACACTAGTGGACAAAATTAAACGCAACTTTACCATTTAACTTTCTAAAATGCCTAATTTCGAAGACCACTTTCGACAATAGTTAATTGAAATTTTACAAAAAATTTTACATCGACCGACTTCAAATGATCATCTCTGAAAGTCTCAATTTTTGATTTAATCTTTCCAATATTTTCCGGGTCTGAAAAAGCCAATTTTTACCATTTGGACCTTATAAGAAACAGCAGACTTGAGGAAAGTTGTCACACTGAATAACACAAGTTTCTCGTTTAATAAAAAAAAGTTTCACGTCGCATCATCAAATTTGTCTTTTACACTTATTCGAAAAAGTGTTCATTCCCATAGAAAACTTATTACAAATGGTAAAAATTGGCATTTTCAGACCCGGAAAAATTGTAAGCACTTCAAATTAAAAATTGCTACTTTCATAGAGGGTAGTTCAGATCACTTGTAATTGATCGATGTAAAAATTTTGGTAAATTTATCAAATTGTGTTAAAAATGGTCCTTAAAATTAGTCATTTTGCAAAGAAAAAACCAGAATTTGCGTTAAATTTTGTCCACTAGTGCATGAGCTGAAGGTAAGTTTTTGTTCATGATTTAATCTGACTTTATACTCGGAAGTTAGTGAACAAAAAAGCTCGTACGAAAATGAATGAAATTGCCTATTCATACGGTTGCCTGAAATGGCGTCCAAATTTTTTGCAATGCCTCAACAAACCATTATGTTTCCTCACGTTTATATCAATCGCTGGTTTTTTCCAAGGCGCCTTGGTCAATGGGTTTGTGAATGCTTCATTATCTTCCATAGAGAGAAGATTTGGAGTTGGCTCGAAGACAGTGTCTTTTATCTCTGTATCCTTTGATATCTCAGGGAAAATTTTGATTTTGAAGAAAGTATGTAAGCGATCAATTCTATATATCCCATTCCTATAATCTACCTGAATTGAAGTAATTCGTCAAATGGCTAAGGGTACTGATCTCAAATCAGTTTGCAACCCTGCTACTTGTATTTATTGGAGTGAGAAACCCACCTCACTTCATTTGTTCATAAAACAATTTTAAATATTTTAAAAATTTAAATTATTGAAGGCCCTAAATAAGACATGCATGCTAAAAGCAATCAAATTAATACAAAAATAGATGCTCTAAAACGGAGAGATTTTGAATGAAGCTTCTAGGATAATTCAAAGCCAAAAAATTCCCTCGAAACGAGCTCAGCAGTTCTCGCTGTCATCCCTCTCTCCTATTACGGCGGAAGGACATCTCAGCCCAGAATACTGGGAGTGAGTCTGCTCGTTTTATCGCTCGGAGGAGCTGTCATGTGTATTCCCCATTTGGCGACTCTAAATGAACCTTCAATTATGGATTCTTACAGAGAAGAAGGACTGGCACAATTTGGATTTTGCAGTAGAAATTCGAGCTCTTCGCGTTCTGATGTAAGTAGTATCGTTTTGGCGCAGGTACTCAATTCTTCACGTTACCATTGAAAGGAACCGTGTTGTTGTGTAAGTTCCAAAAAAACTCGAGAGAGTAAGTTAAAAATCTGAAATCGTAAATCGAGCAAACTCTGATTGCTTCAAATATTTTTTTTGCAGAAAATATGCGAAATGCTGAGAGTAGCTTGGACTTGCCTATGAATGAATGCATCCGTACGGTCCCGTTAGGTTTTAAATAGACATTCAGCTGGAAATTGAGTGCATGAAAATTTTTGTCCTGAACAACTGCGCCTTAGACAAAATAGTCCGAAAATTGACATTGCCCGATTTTTTTGAACCACTTTTATTGCCCTCACGAGCTGGAAAGAATATCGCCATTTAAAATGGAAAAATTTGGGACGCAAATAGCTGAGGATGTTTTGTCCCAGTCCGTCTTCTGGACATTTTTTAATGTTGTTTAAGATTTACCAGCTCCAATTTCGGGTTATTCTTGTTTTCTTATTTTTTTTATAACCGCTTAAAATATTCATTCGCATTAAACGGTTCTAGTTTGTTATCAGCTTAGTCGTCTAATTTTTTATCATTTGAAAAGCGACGAACAAATTTATGCGCTTGTGCGTTTGATTGGCCTAAAAAGAAATTCGAAACCTTCTTTTAGCTCGAAGTTTTGTATTAGTATTGTTTTTTTCCGACTCCAGGGTGTCAACCCAAGCAATATCGGGGTTAGTTACCACTTATTGAATTTGGTAATGTAACGGCTAATCTAAATGCTTTTTTTTTTCTTGGTGTTTTTTCCTAAAATTGAACTTCATTCGAAACAAACATAGAAGTTTTTGGTAGATATAGCTTTTTCGGTGTGTAATAACAGAAATGTAGGACTTTTTGTTTTGTTGCATGATGGTTAGGCTAGCTTGCCATGCTATGTTTGTGTTGTATAATAATTGATCGGTAGCTCCTCTTTGCCTCTTTGTTCAAAAATATCCTGAAGCTACTCAATAGAACCGAAAAGTATCGCTTTTGTTCAATTCTGACACATTTTAAGATTGTGAAACAACATGGGGGTTTATTTCAGCTGAAATATGAAGTTAAGTTGAATACAAAGCTTAAATTAAAAATATATTAAAAAGACAGTTTACTGCCGGCGGGGACGTACCAATTAGCGTACCATGCGTTGGAACACTATTGTCTTTTTTTAAACTCAACAAAAAACAAAAAATGAGTAGGCGGTCGCCAACAAAAAATAGTATAGTTTTTTTTTCATTTTAAGCAATCAAATCTGCAAGTGTTTGTTTTTTCATATTATTTATTTACTTTTTTGTTTGTACAGAAAATGACAAGGAGTTCAAAGTAAAAATGGGAAAATTTTACAAAATTATCCGCTAAAGGCCCTATATGTGACAATTTTTGTGCATTTTTACTTAAAATCAATCACGGAATTTTAATATGATGCCGCAATTGACCTTATTTAAGTTTTTTTAAGACCTAATTTTAATATTTTTCAACTCAAGATTCAATTGATTAAGGTTTCAATGAAAAGTAAGCTTTCCAACTTTCCAATTTTTTTTCTAATTTAGTCAAGTGTAACAGTCATTACGGTCCAAACTGTATTTTCGGATGGTCGGGGGGTTACGACACAAATAGTTGTCGTCGAATGCGCAGCAACGCTGTTTATCTTTGATCTTTTTTTATGTTGTGGAATCCAGACACAAATGATGAAAACATAGTGCAGCTCCAAATGCTAGGTCAATGCTTCGATTTTTTCTGCTCATCTCTTTGATCTTTTCGCTCGTTGTGGATTCAGCAACACATTAAATGAGCCGACATTTATTGCCCACAGTGCAAAATTTTATGCCCCATAGATTAAAAGGCTCAATTGGAACGGGCGAAAGCAAACTTCGCACGCCAAAACGTTTTCAGTTTTGTAATTGTTGTCAAAAACAGTGACTGTGATAATATTTATAACAAAAACATCTTTTTTTAATCCCCCCATACTGCTATTTCAAGCTTTGTTTTTTTTACGAATTTCTTAACTTCAACGCGTAAAAACTGATTTGTTTTCAGCCCCTGTAAAAATCAACGGAAAGCAACAGTTACATAGAAAGGTGTGCGACTAGCAAATTATGATCTGTTTATTTATTAGGTGTTTCAATGGCTCAACTGTTTTATTTTGTAATTAAATTCTCTTAAGTCAAAAATTGTCGTTTTAACGTGTTTTTACATGTCTTATGAATAGTTCTTATGCTCTTAGGATTCAAAACTCATCCAAAGAAATAAAAGCTTCAACAATATTTGATTGTTTTGCTTTCGTGCTTTATTAAATGTAGTTGAGTCTCATCTCATTATATTTATTTACTGAGCTTATGATGGGCCATTGTATAAGAGTCAGTGAACGCAGTTCAGACTCTTATATAATTCGCGATAATTTTTTTTTTTTGCTTTTTTTCGGGAAAAGATTTTGTTCGGGCTCAAATTCTATTTTTGCGGTTTGACTTTTCATTTTTTCAAGTTTTGTTCAATTTATTTGTTTGAAACTAAGGCAAACTCCACTATTGAACAGCGAAAGTGTAAAATTCTGAAAAAATGATTGGTTACTCGTTTCAAAACTCGAATTCAAATTTCAGATTTTCAGCGATATAAAAAGTTTATCTATTGATCCAGTTTTTTTTAAAATTAGGTTAGTTTTATCGAAAAAAATGTCAATCTTAAATTGTTCTAGAATTTCAAAGTGCTTTAAATTTCTATCCTTAATTTTTGAAAGTTGAGATTTAAAAAAAATTAGTCGTTCAATTGCGTTCATTGACTCTTTTTCAACTGCCTGTTGGCTGTGTTTCAAGGTTAATTTTTAATTATGCAACGGTTTGCCCGGTTTCGCTTTCTATGTGTGAAAAGTTCAATTAATTGAGTGCATTTGCTTATTTCTAAGTAAAAAAGGACTTGGGCAAACAGGTAAGCCAAAAGGTATCGGAACAAAAAGAGTGCCTAATAATTGAGTGCCTAATAATTGATTGTGAAGTACCAAAATCTTCAATTTGTTTTTTTTTCGGAACACTGGAGCAGATTGTTAGAAGATTTTGATTCAAAAGATGAAAGATTAATCTCGAAAGAAAGGTTTCAATAAGGCACCACAATCACTCTTTCGGAAGTTTCATTGGATTGGCGGAAATTCATTAAAAACAAGCAGTATTTCTTGTTTTTTTTCCACCTGAATGTTTATTTTTTTAAAAATCGTTTTTAAAATCAAAGTTTTCTATGATCATGAATAGTAGTATTTAGTTATCCTTGCGACAATTTTTTGTGTTTTTTTTTTGTTTTTAAAGTCTTCTACAGTGAATCATGTTCGTCCAGAGTTTTTCTCCGAGGAGATGCCAGATGTTCGTAGTCTTCAATAGTTTCGACTGTCGGCTTATCTTTCGTCTCCACTCCGAACAGACAAACAGTCACTCCTGCAAAGCATCCAGCGAAGGAGAAGATCTCAAATGGAGTCGTATCTCCCGAAAAAGGTCCACCCAAGTTCATTTTCAGCACAAAAGGAGTCAGAATTAAAGCAATTTTAGAGGCAGCCGAGCATAGCGACATTCCAGCGTTTCGCATCGACGACGGAAACTGTTCGGGACAATGGACGAATAGAATGCTGTAACATGCAGTCGCGAGACATTTGCCGGCCATTGCAAACACGATTTGAACTGAGCCACCTATAAAGGGAACACCTGCGCAAAACGCTGATGCAACAAACAAGGCAATATAAAAGACTGTCTTTCGACCCCATCTATTGATCGATTTTGAAACGAACCATGATGGGACGTCAACCAAAGACAAGAGAAGTGAGTTCAAATAAAGATTACCATGAATCTTTTTCACATTGAAAATTAGGCCGAAATAAACCATACTGCATGCAAACCATGCTAACATGTTGACGGCTGTTAGAACACAGCTATGCAACGTTCTGAATAGATCCAAAACGCTCATTTTGAGAGATGTTCCAGTCTCTTTTTGGTACTTTTGATTGAAGGAGTCGTCTTTTTGTTTCGAGCTTTCATGCTCCTCGCGCAAAAGCAAACTTGATTCGGAATCAGGCTTAGTCAAGTTAATCGCTTTGGTCGGGTTTCCATTGTACTTGGCAATCCATTTTAAGTTATATTCCGCTTCGTTTATTCGGCCAACGGATTCAAGCCACCTCGCACTTTCTGGGAGGAGAAACACCTGGAAAAACATAAAGGGAATTAAGGGAAGTGCCAATGTCAAGAACTGTTTGCGCCATGATTCCTCAAATACGAATGCACTTAGAACACACGCGATTTGTCCAATCACAAACATGAGCTGATTGGTTATTTCTAGTTTTGGCACGTATTGTTTCGACACATTTTCTGTCAGAATTAGCATTACAAGATAAGATGAAATGCTGCAAAATCCCGAAACGAAACGCATCGCAATGTAGGAATAGATATCTGGTGCAAACGTAGTGGCGAGTGTCGAAAAGAATTGAAGAAAAACCAAAATTGCTGATGGCCATTTTCTGCCGAATTTTTCGCTAATGGAGCCACACGTTAGGGTTGAAATGAGAAATGCCGACCAGTATGCTGAAGTCGATACAGTCGCCAGGATTTGTTGGTTGTTACAAACCAAAACGTAGTCTTTATAAATTGATCCGGTATCGTCTTCAAATATTAATTTTTGACAGCTTTCATCACATTTGTCCAAAGCCGAGTTGTTTTGAAAGGGATACTTGGAAACTCCTGGCCCATCGGCACAAGAGAAGTCAATATCAAGTCCTACAAATACAACAATGTAGGCGTGCCATCCATTGTAAGCTGACATAAAACCGGCGAAGATAACCAGCATCAGTTGCGCCGGACCAAAAGATCCAGCGATTTCCAAAGCCGAGTCAAAATCCATATTGCAATTTTCAAAACTTAAGGTGTCGTGGCCTTAAGTGAACATTCGAACAAACCAATAACCCTCCTTTTTTGAAAAAGAAACGCACTACTAATGAATGTCACAAATATAATTTTGTTTGATCAAAGCTCTGTAAAATTTATTCAAACATAGCTGATCAATTAAAGGAATTCAGCTTTGGCAGAAGAATTTAATGTGAGAAATTTTGTCCTTTGCATAATTGCTCGAACAAATTTTTGAGAAATGCCAAGGAGCGCAAGAGTTTGAATTAGTTAGTAGTCGCAAAGTTACAGTCCACGTAAATGTAGAGAAGCTCAGCTTTTTCAACTTGTAACCTCAAATGCAATTGCAAATATTTAAAAAAGGTATTGGGAAGATGTGCATGTAGTGCGTAGCACTCCAAACGCACTTTTGCAAAAGCTTCAAGAAAGAAATAACGGGTTACCTCGCAGTTTTGTATTTCTACCGTCATTAAAAGAAATTTGAGCTTTTGTCGCATTTTGCGCTGTTTTCTTAGACACCGAGCGCCTTTTTTCAGATGTTCTCATTACAGTCAGAACTACGATTGACAAAAATTTTTGTCGGATAGTTTTGATTTACTTGATGCATCGTTATGTTGCGAAATACGTTAATCTCTGTAAATACACGAAAACAGAAACCGCCGAAAACAAAAAATTTTAGACCTGTTTAATGGCTCTGATTCAACGCTGGTGCAATTTAGAGCGATGATTTAGCCATGATTAATTGCAGGGGGGGGGCATCTAAGGTTTTCTTGAGGGGTGGGTCGACCAGATTGATTTTCCGAGCTCTCCTAAAAAACTATAAAGACCCTCTTGTGACCAAATATTTGCGCCGCAAGCAAATTTTAAAAAAAACGGTCAAAAAAGCCGTTTTTGGGAAATTTTGACCAAAAAATTGCGTTTTTTCGGCGCGCGCTCCCCTTCAAAAATAGTATATATTGGTGCCAAAGGGGCCTTAGAAAAGTTTCAGGGTTAGTAGGCCTAAAATACATGTCATTTAATAATACGTAAGGGGGACTCTTTGGTTGGTGAGAAGGTCAAAGCCTTGAGGGGGGAGGAGGCGGGGGCACCCGACTTCATCCTAAGTCCGCCCCTGATTCATTGCTGCTAATTTTTGACTTGTCAAAATTATGCAAAAACTAAATATACACCAAAAAGACTTGATCCATCAACCTCTTGAAGGGTAGTGGTTTCTGTTGTCTCTGATCGGGGGCGTTCAACAATGCTTAAGTACAACAGTTTCGAAACTAAAAATGATCATAATTGGGTCTTTTGATTTTTGTGAATTGTTGGCAGTTTTGTGTGAACACTTGTGTTTTGGAACAAGACCCAAAAAAATGACAATTTGCGGAGTTCATTGTTTGTTCAACAAAATTTATGAGGCCGGGCTTGGGGAACTTCTGTTTGTTTAACAAGCGGCATAAGTTGAAATGGCAATTTTTTGTCTTTTTCAACTTTCGTCCGTTTGAATATAATTACTTGCCAGTGGTTCTAGAGATGGGAGCCTTTCAGTGGTAGAACCATACTCGTGCCAGCAACACGAGTGCAAGACCCATCAAATTCCTCATTATCTTCAACTTGTCAGTGATGAGAGGGTAAAAACAGTATTCAAAATAATTTCGGCACCGTTGAACAAGATTTTGATTTTCGGCACTGTTGTACTGCCTTTCTCTTCCAATGAGATTTAGATTCTTTGAACTTATAGAAACAGATCCTTAACCTATTCTTTCATTTTTATCATAGTGGCAGTTCAAACGCTTTTGAAGATTTGGAGCCTAAACTAAGTTTTCATGAAAAGCTTATTACCGTTTGCGCAAGCAAAGCTTGTGTGATAGTATGAACTTTCTTTTTTTTTCCCGCCCAAGTCGCAAATATTGTTGCGACGAAATGAGTTAATTTTGAAAGTTTTCATTTTGATCAATAACCAGCTATTCAGTACAGCCAATGCTAGGGATATTAACACAGACTATTATAATACAAATAGCACTTAAGCTTCAAGATATCAGACCCGCAAAGAGGGTTTAAACCTGGGCAGGGTCGGATGTTTTTAATGAACTTGTTCGTATACTAGTTAAAATGCGACACTCTATAATTTATGGCGGCTCTTTTCCAGTCCCCCCCCCCTTCAAATTCAATTTTGAAAAGCTTATTTAACCTTGTCATATTGCAATGAAATTTGGCGTGGTGAACGAATCGACAACTGTAAACAGATTTTTTCTTCATACTTTACAGCGTAACATCACGCATGTAGCCGTAATAAGACGTAAAACAAACATAAAACTCGATATTTTGAAAGGGGGGAACTGGAAAAGAGCCATTATGGCATGTTACTTGGTAAATTTCTTCTTTTTTCAAATTGACTGGTACTGCTGATGCGTCATAATTGGCTTGCGTCGCTTAGCAATTTTGTAGACTCAAAGTTTTACTCATTCAGTTTTTCCCAGTGGAGTTATCAATTATATTTTTGCTTGTGTATGCGAAGTGCAACTTCGCCTCTGTGCTGAAATTTATGGTGATTGGAGTTGGCGTTATATAATTACAGCCCAATTTAAATTGTGTCTGAAAAAAAACGAAAAAAAAAACACCCGTTTTGTCGACGCATAGATTTTTTTAGAATCCGAATTACGAGCAATTCTCCCAATCGATCTGTCTTGGAGATAGTCAAAATCCGCTAGCAAAAAAAGACACTACGTCATATATCTGTCCATCCATTTTTTTGATTTTTTTCCATTGAAATAAATTTGAGAGATGTTAAAATGTTAACTTGAAATTTGCACATTGATCTTCAAGTTTAGTTAAAAATATAACCATTATTACTATTTACGAAGTGGTAAATAGTTTTGCATATTCGAAAGTGTCTGTTACACGTCTGCTTTAATGTAAAGCCAGATTAGAAATATGAGCACACGGTTGTTCCGACATCAATAATATATATTTTTTCAAATTTTGTATAGGGTTTTGACCATGGTGTATTGCAAGTACCAAAACCAAATCTTTACCATTAGTTAATTACTGATACTCGCCTACCTTTTTCTAAGACAAAAGAATTCAAAAACAAAACAAAAATTAAAAAACCAAAAGATTGGGCAATTTGTTTCATGTCGAAGAAGTCACTCAATCTTTTGAGAGGCGTTTGTTTTTTCCGACAGTAAATTGCACTCAACGGTTAAGTGTTACCATTTTTCATCACTGTTGGCGCCAAATTGGGTACTCTTCTAGAATGAAATCGTTGTTACATTCTTTTGGCTCAAAATCCCAAAAAATGATACATAAAGAAAAGTTTTTTTGAAAGGTTTTCAATGCATGGTTGCGCCAGTTAGTTTTTCCCGAGAAAAAATTGATGTATCGAAGATTTAATTATTTAAGGTTGAAGATTTTTACACAAATCAGCGGGAAATTGTTTAACTTGGATACTGCACAATTATTAGAATTATTCCTGGGGCAGATAGATCCCTCCTACTTTGGGACCATTTATCCAGGAAGATGGAGCCGAAAAACAATTTGTTCAACTATTTATGGTAGATCGCTGCTGGCCTTTGAATAAATCACTAATTGAATTTATTTACACAGGGAAATTCCTGTGTTATTTCATGAGTTCAAGTTTTCTAACCTAACTTGCATAAATTAGTGCTCGACCAAACTGCTCAACGTCATTATCTGTGGACTGTTTACACAAGCAAAGCCCACCCTATCTCGCAAGTATTGTTGCGACACAAATATTGTTGCGACGAAACGTGTTTATTTTCAAAGTTTTCGTTTTGATCAATAACCAGGTATTAAGTACAGCCAATGCTAAGAATATTAACGCAGACTATTATATTACAAATAGCACTTTAGCTTCTAGGTATCTTGGATCTGTAGCGTAGAGGTAGGAAAGGAAACCCGCAACAAAATAAGAGGGTTCGAACCTGGGCAGGGTCGGATGTTTTTAATGAAATTTTTCGTTTACTAGTTAAAATGCGTCCACTCTAAAAGTTGAGGCATATTAGTTTGTAAATTTCTTTTTTTTTTTCAAATTGACTGGTACTGCTAATGCGTCATAGTTGGCTTGCGTCACTTAGCAGTTATGTAGACTCATAATTGGCGTGCGTCACTTATAAATTTTGTAGATTCAAAGTTTTACTCATTCATATTTTCCCACTAGCGTTATCGATCATATTTTGCTTGTGTATGCGAAGTGCAACTTCACCTCTGTGTTTAATTCTATATAAACTTGCGTGTCTTGTAATCGGGAACTATACTTTTTCCCATTAGCAATTTTTCCCACAAACTTGCAAATAAAAACTAAAATTGGTTTATTAGTAAACCATATATACACAAGGTCTAGGGTTTGAGTCCCGGCTGGGCTTCGTTTTTTTTTCACTGTATGAATTGATTTGTCGGATTTTTGTTTTTGTCTGCCTATGTTTTGTCGGCTTAGTTGCCACATCGCGGGTTTTTTCAGCAGCTTTAATTGTAGATGCAAGTGTGTTTGATTCGTTCCTGTAATTTGTAAAGTTAATAGCCCAGACTTTGTATATTTTCCTTTTTTTCTCGCGTGAAATGTTTAGTCGACATAAATGGTTTCGGCTTATGCTTTATCGGCTATGTTAATTTATTTTTGCGTCGCTTCAAGTGTAAAAAAAAGATTTATTTTTTTTAACTTCAGGTAGTTTGTCTTGCAAAAATTCAAAGTTTTAAAACTTAATTGCTCGAAATTTATGTACGACAATTCTTTGTTTTTTTTTTTGGTTTTTTTCCGGCTCGATGGGAGTCTCTACACAAATTTCGGCTTACTGGCTGCTCGATAAAGTTTGTTTTGAAAATTAATGCAGATTGTTTTGTTTTCTTGACTGTTTTTCTGAATTTAATTTTATTTTTTCCTTTTCCCATTTTTTTAGCTTTTGTTATTTCCGTCTGATTTACTGTTCGCTAGCAATGCTGTGCTTGCGATGTATCGCGAGTAATGCGAAGCTCAGCTTCGCTTGTGTTCTATTTTGCAATTCAATAACACGAAAAAAAATTTTTTAAAAACCCTAGCAAATTTAAAAGTTTCTTTGCCATTTCTTGCTGAAGATTGCGAAATGCTATTTCGCCTCTGTGTACATTTAA